CTGGTCAAGCTCCTCTGTTTGGGTAGGGGGTCTATAGTAGACTCCCACCAATAGGTCCCTTTCCCCTCTTCTGCCTTGAACCCTAACCCAAAGCACTTCAGAGTGCTTCTCCCCTGACTCTTTACTAATTAGCGAGGACGTGTATTCCTCCTTGATATAGAGTGCCACTCCCCCCCCTTTCCTATTCTGTCCCTCCTGTACAGCCTATAGCCCTCGACATTCACCGCTCAATCACGCTTGGAGTCCCACCAAGTCTCCGTAATCCCCACAATGTCCGGGCTGGCGTCAGCCACCAGGAGGGCGAGTTCCTCCTGCTTGTTCCCCATGCTATGGGCATTAGTGTAGAGGCATTTCAGGCCTCCTGTCCAGCAGCATCTTCTGAAAAGCTACTTTTGAAGAAGGTGCCTTGCATTTCAGGAGGTTGCAGAGCTAATCAAATATCCTTTCATTGGTCAGCTTTTATGTCAAGTGGAGATATCATTCTAGAAGTGACTGGTACTGGGGTAGGAGCTCCTCAAACTGATACCAGGCCAACAGAAAGAGCCACAATTACTACACTCAGAGCCCCACATATAGCAGCAATGGAAGAATGCAGTGGTTGCCAAGCCTGCTCAGTCTTCCCTTGGTCCAACCAGAAGCTGGATGGCCACTACACCACAGTGGCACCACCCCATAGCAGGCAGCTGTAACCATCCAGACAGAACTTCTGGTGGCAGGCCTTGAAGCCCAGGTCTCCATGAAAATGAACCAGAACCATCTGAAGAGTGGCAGTGACACTGCAGGATGCATGTGGGCACCCTGATCACCAGCCTTCCTAACTTCAGGACTTGCTGCTCCAGAGATCCAGGCAGCTGGGGCTCTCTGTGCATGCTTGTTTTGATACTTTTTATATAGCTAATCCACCTCTCATGTCTACTTCCCTCCCATGCTCCTGATCTTTACCACAACCCATTCTGACTCACTTCCCTTTGAAGAACTAGATAAGATACAGAGAAATGGAACAAGGGTGAATGGACTGTAAGGTAGACAGAAAACTGGCTGGACCATTGGGCTCAAAAGGCAGTAATTAGGGCTGTTACTTAATGTGCGTGAATAACATGTTAAAATCAATGCAAAAACAAATTAATGCACGTTACTCACTGCTGCTGAGGGAAAAGTGCTCTCCGCCCTCTGCTGCATGCCAGCCCCTCCGCCATTGCTGCTGTGTGCCAGGGGAGGGGAAGGGGAAGGGGAGAAAGGGCCCTTCCCCCCTCGCTGCTGCCGGAACACACACACACACACACACACACACACACACACACACACACACACACCCCCCCCTGTGG